GGGCCACTTTAAACTAACCTGTACAAAAATATTTCAGTATCTTAACAATCAGCAAGAGGCCCAGCTAATTGTTGGTGAATACCAGCTGACTGTTAGGTGGAGAAAGAGCCACTAGTTGGGGTTTGAAAGATTATTGTCTGTGAGCATCGATCTTTGCTAAGGACTAGTGATTTAGGAGAATCCAGACTCCTAACCTAGGGCTCTTCCTGTACCCCTACCCAGCCTGGCGGAAGCTGAAGCTCCCAGGGGACAGCTCCTTGATGACCTACAGGGGCCATGGGGTACTACACACCCTCATCCGTTGCCGATTCTCCCCCACCCATAGCACCGGCCAGCAGTTCATCTATAGTGGCTGCTCTACTGGCAAAGTGGTTGGTAAGCATTGTATTAGAACAGGGGCCTCAGAAGGGCAGGACTGTTTCCCAGGCATTCTACCTGTAACTACCAGTGACCACCTTAAAAAAACTCAGTGACATGTATAAGTGGAATTTAATTTAGCTTGGTGCAAGGGAGGTTTAAACGAAGAAACAGAAAACATTCTATTCATCAGCATTTTAAATTTAAATTAAGAGAAGGAACATAGAATTCTAGTCAGTAAATATAATAGATTACCAAAATTATACTCAGTTCTGTTATGTAGCCAGTCAAGTAAAGAGATTGCAGATGAAAGGTAGGAGGGAACAGAGATAAAAAAAGAATGACACAAAAAGAAAACAGCAAGTAGTAAAGGACATACAGCCACTAAAGCAGGAGGAATGCACAAACACAGCTGCATCTATAAGGAGCCTAAAACTGAACTCACATGGAGACCCATCCATAAAGAGAAAGGTGTGCCCCATGCAGACAAGGAACAACAGGTTCATATGTCTTTGGAGACATCCATTGTTCACTTTTGTGGTGCTGTCCTTATGGCTTTATTTAAAAAATCCTCACCTGAGGGTATGTTTATTCATTTTAGAGAGAGAGGGAAACATCAATTGTATGCCTCTCATATGCACCCTGACTTGGGAATGAACCTGTAGCCTTTTGATGCATGGGATGATGCTCCAACCAACTGAGCCACCAACCAGGGCCAGATCTTGTGAGCTCTTTAGAAAATTGTTGCTAAAAGCTTTAAAGCCACATCGTGTTACATTAAGTGTAGACCTTGTGAAATTTAGCTGAGGGCAGAGATACCAAGTTCTGCTAGACCATACCCTCAATCTGAGGTAGGGAAAAGGGAATAGAAACTGAGAAAAACCTTGTCTTCTGCTGTGGGTTTTGTTCCCCCGGGAAAGGGGGAAGTTGCCTGAGAAGCATGCAAGTGGTATTGCCCAGGGAGAGAGGAGAGGTGGCTAGAAGTTCCTATGGTGGCTCCTCTCCACTCTGGCCTTTCCTGAACAGTGTACAACCTCCTCAGTGGACACATTGTGAAGAAGCTAACCAGACACAAGGCTTGTGTGCGTGATGTCAGTTGGCACCCCTTTGAGCAGAAGATTGTCAGCAGTTCGGTGAGGTTGCAAGGGTTAGGGGGAGCCAGTGCATGTCTGGGACTTGGACCTGGGAGGGGGCAGCACCCCCTGACTACTCAACACCTTCTTCCCTGCAGTGGGATGGGAACCTGTGTTTGTGGCAGTACCGCCAGGCTGAGTACTTCCAGGATGACATGCCAGAATCTGAGGAATGCCCCAGCGTTCCTGCCACAGTGCCCCACCCCTCTTCAGCCTATTCCTCGCCCTAGTGGATCTGACCTCCAGCCCATACGTGGCTGAGCCTCTTGATAAGCCCTCTGCCTTCTCTCCCCCTTCTCCCTTCTAGGGGAATCTTTGGGGAATTGTTGGCATTCAATGGGGAGAAACAGAAGCCCAGGATTTCAGGGCCCTAAGTGAGCCCTGGAAAGTCCTCCTCATGGGTCTCCCCACATGCTCACACCCCATGCAGCTTGGCTCCCTGTCTCTGGCCAGAATCTGGCAGGACTGCCATTATTTTACCTGGGGTGTGACCCTTGTAAGAGAACTGTTCTGAGTGTTTTTAATCATGTTTGGATGTTAGGTGTTAGCTTCTAGAGTAGATGCCTGGGGCCAAGTCTGCACTGAGCTGTCAGCCAGGCCCATTGCCCAGGCCTCCATGTTAAGGATTAGACTGGCCAATCAGAAGGCCAGGCGTCCTGGCCTTCCTTCCAGAGATCCTGATGGATAGATCTGTAGCCCTTCTGGGGAGGGTGGGAGGGGTAAAGCATGTCCTCAGCAGCCTCCTGGGGTGGGAATTATGTCCTTTCTCTCCTGTGTCTGGGTCTTTGGGGTACAACAGACTGATGTGAGAGGCTCCATGTGGCTTCTCACAAGGTAGGCCCTCCCACCCAGAACTTTCCATCTTGCAGAAGCCAGCAGCTTCAAGGAAGAATGTTGAAGTAGGACTCCTTTGTCCTCTCAATGGCCTCAATAAACTCGGTGGGAACCTGGCTCAGTGTCTGTTTCTGTCTCCTTTTCCTGTCTGACATCTCTATCCTCTCTCTTCAAGAAAATAGTTTCAACAAAGCCTTCAGATGTGCTCCTCTATGGGGAAAAAAACACCCCTTTGATGGCTCAAGATGTAGGGAAATATCAAAATCATTTGTTAACTGAACTCTTCGGTAGGTAGTCCCTCGCTAACCTCAGAAACTTCCTAGCAAGTAGAAATCAAGAGAGCAGGAAATAACTGCACTTTAGACCCACACTTGTGCATCACCTTTCTTCTGGGGCTGGCCCTGGAGTTGGTCCAGCCTACAAGAAAAAGTAGCCCAGAGACAAGCTGGTAGGCACTGATGCCAAGCCCCATCTGGGCACTTCACCCTCACAGTCGCCCCTTGTACAGGGTAGGAAGTGGAGACACACAGAGGTCAAGTGGCATGCCCCAGGGGTGCCCAATGGTGTGGTCAATGGGGGAGCTAGGGTTCACATCCAGCTCTGCTCCATCTTTCCACACATTTCACTGTTTCCAAGGCAATTTTCAAACCGGGATACACACCTACAAGGGTTCTCAAAGACGCAGCAAGGGGTAAAAGGAGTACCTATTTCACAGTGAAACCAGTCGTGTGTGTGTTGTTTTATTATTTTTTTTTTAATTTTTATTTTTAGAGAGGGAAGGGAGGGAGAAAGAGAGAGAGAGAGAAACATCAATGTGCAGTTGCTGGGGGCTGTGGCCTGCAACCCAGGCATGTACCCTGACTGGGAATCGAACCTGCGACACTTTGGTTTGCAGCCCGAGCTCAATCCACTGAACTACACCAGCCAGGGCTCCAGTCTTTTTTTTAAAAAATGAATTGTTTAGATGCTCAGCCTCCATGTGTTCTCCAAGTGCTCTGGCCAGTGTAAAACTCCTTTCCCTCTGGCCCTCTTCATTTCCTCTCTGCTGCATCGCCCCAGAGATGCCACCCATCTGACCCAGAACCTGCAGTACCTCCAAGGGTGCCCCAAGTGAGAAGCAATTAAAACTATTACTGTCCTTGAAGCCCCATTTAATGAAAGCCCTAAAGACCACTCATTCTCAATAAGAGATGTATTTCCAATACAATTTCAGGTTACTGTTATCAAAATGTGTGAAATGTTTGTTGTATTAATAATACATTTTATACTAATAATTATGCAAATTTAATTCTGAAGAAAAAAAATTAAACTTAGAACTTTATGAATACAGAAAGTATTTAAAAATTAAATTTCAAAGTATATTCTTTTTTGCAGTGAAGTGTGATCAATAAAAGACTTTCAAGAATAAAAACAGGAGGGCTGGGTGGATGGGTAGGGATGGGAGTAAAAGATAGAAAATTGTACAACAATTAAAATTTTAAAAAATAAAATAAAAACATTAGGTCCTGAGTGGTGTGGCTTAGTTGGTTGGGCATTGTCCCACAAAACGAAAGGTCACTGGTTCCACTTTCTGTCAGGGCACATGCCTAGGTTGTGGGTTCAGTCCCTGGTCAGGGTGTATAGCAAAAGCAGATTGATGTTACTCTCTCACATTGATGTTTCTCTCCCTCCCATCCCCTCTTGAAAGAGAGGGGGAGGAAAGGAGGGAAAAGGGAAGGAAAGAGAAAAGAACATTAGGATAAGTTCTTCGAGGGAAGTAGGATGGCAATATAATTTCTGACAAGATCTCATCCCCCACTGACTAGTGTAACTCAGTGGATTCGGCATCATCCTGCAAAAGACTGTTTTGATTCCCCGTCAGGGCACACGCTTGGGTTGCATGCAGGTCAGGTCCCTGTTTGGGAGCATGTGAGAGGCCACCAGTCTGTCAGTGTTTCCCTATCTTCTCTTCTCTTTGGAAATAAATAAAATCTTTTAAAAAAAATCTCATCCCTTGTTTTTTAAATGGATAACAACAGCTCTTGTGCCAGATCTGAGGAGGGGCCCTGGATCACACTGTTGATGAGGCAGACACAGATTTTTAAATAAATTCCAAGGTTTGGTTAGTTTTACCTTTCTGACACTTTCAACCCACCTAAGTTTGCGCTTTGTTTTATTTGAGAGACCTCTGAAAATAGCTTAGATTCTTCCTCCTACCTGCCTGCAGCACGGCATGTTAAATCCAGTTGCGAATAAATCTGTTTCACAAAACCTCCTCTCAGATATGTTGACTCTCTCACTTCCCATTCTTAAGACATAATGTTGCTTTAAAAGGTCAAACAGTAAAGAAATCTCAGGAGCCTCAAACAAAATTTAAAATTTCCATGTGGATCAAATAGTAAAGTTGGGGGGGTGGAGGGTGACTAGCTGTCTAGACAGAAACAGGCAGACCCAAGCAGGCTATGCTCAGAGACAACCCTGAACAGTAGGCCTGGCCCTGAGACATTAACTGGAACATGGTTAGGGTTGGGGACACAGGCCTAGAGGGCCAAGGGGACACAGGGTTCGTTGGAAAGGACACCGACTTCAATCCGGACACACACCAGAGGCTGGGACCCTGCTGACGTGGCAGCCCTCTGCCCTGGCCCCTTACTGCCCCCCGCCCCTCTCCCCCGCCTGCCAGCTGCCAACAGGGCTCTGCCCTGTGTCTGCCACACCTGTCACTGCCTGTCCTTTTCCAGGGGGGCCCCATCAGCCCCTCCTCAGCTGCCCAGCAGAGCAAGCGGTTAGTGGGGAGGGGAGGGAACATGGAGCGGGGGCCAGTGGTGGGGGCAGGGCCAGGGGCCAGGGCCCGAATCCGGGCACTGCTGGGCTGCCTGGTCAAGGTGCTGCTCTGGGTGGCCTCTGCCTTGCTGTACTTCGGGAGCGAACAGGCTGCCCGCCTCCTGGGCAGCCCCTGCTTACGGCGCCTCTACCATGCCTGGTTGGCAGCAGTGGTCATCTTTGGGCCCCTTCTGCAATTCCATGTCAACCCTCGGACTATCTTCGCCAGCCACGGCAACTTCTTCAATATGTGAGTCCACTTGAGGCCATGGGTGCCGCTCCCTGCACTCTGGGATCCTAGCTCCCTCCAGGCTTCTGTCCTCCTGCCAGTCCAAACACTAAAAATAGGCCAGGAGTCTGAGGAGAAGGTCAGAGGAGGGGGAGGGGGGCAGCATTGTTGGGGTACAGAGGAAGTGGGAGCAGGGCTGAAGAGGAAATATGGACCCTAGAAGGCTTAATGGGCTTATAAGTGAATGGGGGTGGGAGGTATGAGACACAGGAAACAGACAGCCAGTGATGAAATGTAGGAGTGGGAACAGCAGTGATGGGAACACAGACCCGAGCAGGGAGACTGGGCTGAGGATTCTCAGTAGCCTCCCCTCTTCTCTGCCTGCAGAAAGTTTGTGAATTCGGCATGGGGCTGGACATGCACCTTCCTGGGGGGCTTCGTGTTGCTGGTGGTGTTCCTGGCTACACGGAGAGTGGCTGTAACTGCCCGGCACCTGAGCCGACTGGTGGTGGGGGCGGCTGTGTGGCGTGGGGCTGGACGCGCCTTCCTGCTCATCGAGGACCTGACCGGCTCCTGCTTCGAGCCTCTGCCCCAGGGCCTGCTGCTCCACGAGCTGCCTGACCGCCGCAGCTGCCTGGCAGCCGGCCACCAGTGGCGGGGCTACACGGTCTCCTCCCACACCTTCCTGCTCACCTTCTGCTGCCTGCTCATGGCTGAGGAAGCAGCAGTGTTCGCCAAGTACCTGGCCCATGGGCTGCCCGCTGGCGCACCCCTGCGCCTTGTCTTCCTGCTCAACGTGCTGTTACTGGGCCTCTGGAACTTCTTGCTGCTCTGTACCGTCATCTATTTCCACCAGTATACTCACAAGGTGGTAGGTGCTGCAGTGGGCACCTTTGCCTGGTACCTCACCTATGGCAGCTGGTATCATCAGCCCTGGTCTCCAGGGAGCCCAGGCCATGGGCTCTTCCCTCGCCCCCACTCCAGCCGCAAGCATAACTGAAAGAAATAAAGGCACATGAGGCCTGGCTCTGGCCCTTCTCATCATTTGGTTGGGGCATCTGGGAAGGGTGGGAAGGGTAAAAAAAGGCTGGTGGTCACTAAGGTTCCTGTCATCAGCTTTGAATGTCCTTCCTTACACTTGATGGCCATTCCTCCTGCTGTCCTTTCAGTCTCCCAGCCCTTGCAGACATTGAGCTATCTGAAGCTCTGATATCAGGGAATGGCACTGCGAGGGCAGGTGACAGTCCTTAGGTATGGGCAGCATTCCCACTGAGCTCCATCTCCAGCCTGGTTGATTCCTTTTTCCTGCCTTTTTCACTGAACCCCACCTCTACTTTCCTTAGGGGCCTATCGAGGAGCCCTTCCTACCCCATCTTCCCCATAGGGGTCCATGTGCACTCATTTTTCTAACAGATGTTTACTGAACCAAGCATACTCCCATGCCATGTGAGTAAGAAAGACAAGGAGTTTGCTGCTTGGGGGCTTATGGGTTACTGGGGGAAGCAGATGATAAACTCAAAAATAATAGCAAACACTTGTGTGGTGCTTACTCTGTGCCAGGCACCAGTTCTTTACATAAATTAACACATTTAGCCCTCATAGCACCAACACTGTGAAGTGTCTCCATTGAACAGTTGCAAAAACTGAGGCACAGGGTAACTTGTTCACAGCTAGTAAATATCAGAGTCAGGATTATAAACACAGGTACTATGGGTCCATTGTCTTTAAACCAGGGATGGCAAATTACAGCCCTCCTGTGGCCAGTTTTTGTATGGCCAGATTGCTAAGAATGGTTCTTATGTTTTTTAATGGTTGAAAAAAATTAAAGAATAGTTATTTCATGATATGTGAAAATTACATGAGATTCAAATTGCAGTGTCCATAAAGTTTTATTGGAACTTAGCCACACAAATCATTTAGGCATAGCTACTTATTTACCTGCTACAACGGCAGATTTGAGTACTGTAGTTGCTACAGACACTATATGGCCTAGAAAGTAAAAAATGTTTAGTATCTGACTTTTTCTTAAAAAGATTTGCCAACCCCTGGGCTAAACCACACTATCTTCAAAAAACAAACAGAAGGATATCAGAGGTTAAGTGTTATGAAGGTACTAAAACAAGCTGCTTTGTAAGCAGAGACTTGGAGGGAGATACTTTACAAAGGATGGTGGAAAGAGTTGTGTCTTAAGAAGTGACATTTGAGCTGAGAATGGAATGCCAATAGGATGTAAGGGAAGCGTGTCAGGAGAAGGGATTAGCCAAGGCGAATGCTCTGAGACAGGATGAACAAATGAAAGCCAGGTATTTTCGAATGTAATAAAAGGGGGAGAAAGCAGTGTAACAGTGAAGCTGATTGGCAACAGATGCCGGACTGTCCAGGTAGGCCTCTGGATTTCAGGGAAGCCCTTTTTCATTCTTAGGTCAACAGGAAACTGAGAAAGAGTTCTAAGCAAGAAAGAGCCAGATCCTGCTGCTGTGTGGATAGCGGGTTACAGGGGAATGGAGTGCACAGCAAGGGTCAGGAGAGAGCTGACTCGGGCCTGGGTCGGCGTGGGGCCAGTATCTGAACGTCACTGCGTGGGCCAGAAGATGCCCAGGGGCGGGAGTCCAAGGTCCCAGGCTGACAGGGCTAGGAACGGGAGGCCACCTTCGCTCCACAGCGGAGGAAAGATGGAAGACCACCAGAGAAGGCGTATTGCTGTCCCAGGCCTAGTCGGTGAAGAAGAGGGCCAATTTGGGGTCAGGATGCGGAGATGGGGGCGGAAGTCCCCAGGTGGGCACTGGCTGGGTGGAGGGAGTACGAGCCTAGGGAAGCCGAAAGGCAAGAATCGGAACCTAGGGAGGGCAGGAGTGGAAAGAAGGCAGAGTGAGGAGGAGGAGGAAGGGAGGGGGAGGAGGAGGGTGGAGAAGGCGGGGCTTCGAGAGCAGGCAAGCGGGGTAGGGAGGTGGGCAGAGGGCTTCAGTGGAAACGCTTCGCTCCAGCTCTAGGGGGAGCCCCGCGGGAGCCGCCTTCCCCTGCTCCCCTACTCCCCCCGCCCCCTCCCGCCTTCTTTCGAGCCTGTCCCCGCCTCCTCCTGTGCCTCCATTCCCCACTACCCAGGAAAGCCGTGCGGGTTACTCGCGCTGCTTTCGCTTTCCCTTCTCTGTGCCCAGCCTTCGCTCCTCGTGCAGTGCTCGGGCCTCCGCCCCAGCCATGGCCATGATCAGGGTCCAGCCTGAAGCCCAAGCCAAGGTGAGCGCTAGGGGTTCGAGGAAGGACCTATTAGGGAAAGCGTGGTGCCTAAAAGCTGAGGACGTAGGTAATCCGCCCTCTAGCTCCCCCAACACTTGTCGAGGTCAGTCCTCCAGCCTAAGTAAGCCTCCATGCAGGGAGCATCGGAGGCCCGGGGAGACCAGCGGGGTTCGCCTGCCGAGAAAGAGGAGGCGGCTGAGGTTCAGCGGGGTGAGGTGAAGCGGAGAGCTAGCGTGGAGGGGAAGTCCGCTGGCCCGGCGCTGGGCCCGCACACACACCTGCCTTGCCTCCTCATTGCCTTTCCCACAGGGAGGGCCCCGGGGCCCACTTCACAGGGTACTCCATCCCTGCCCAGTCTCAGAAGGCTCTTACACCTCTCCTTACACAGCCCAGGAGACCCGAAGGATCTGTTTTCACCTGAACCACTCGCCCTTCGCAGCCAGAAATGTCCTCATCCCCCAAATCCAGTCCCACGGGGATCTGCTCCACCCTTCCCCAGATTGAGCCCTACACAACCCTGAGGGAACAGTACCCAAATGAACTGGCCATAAAGCCAGTTGTCTAAAGGGCTGCCTATGTCCCACAGGTGGATGTGTTCCGTGAAGACCTGTGTACCAAGGTAAGACTCGCCTCATCAGCACCCTATCAGCACCCCATCCCTACTGTTCAGCCCTTTCTTGCTGGGCAGGGCAAATACCCGTCACTGCCTAGGAAGGGCATTTGCTTCTGACACACATCTTCCCCACCCCTACCTCACTCACAGACAGAGAACCTGCTTGGGAGCTACTTCCCCAAGAAGATTTCTGAGTTGGATGCATTTTTAAAGGTACTGGGGCTGGGCAGGGAGCTAGAGGGTAGAGGCCAAGGGGGAGAGTCTGGGAACCAGGAGAGTGAGGAGGTGAGAGGGATGCCCTTGCCTCCAGCCCTCCTCCAAACCCTGTGCCAGGAGCCAGCTCTCAATGAAGCCAACCTGAGCAATCTGAAGGCCCCATTGGACATCCCAGTGCCTGACCCAGTGAAGGAGAAAGAGAAGGAGGAGCGGAAGAAACAGCAGGAGGCAAGCCAGGAAGAGCTGGGAGGAGGGACTCAACCATGGGAAAATTAGCCTTAGACCTGTCTCCCAAGAACCCTTCTTTTCCTGCAGAAGGAAGACAAGGATGAAAAGAAGAAAGATGATGAAGACAAAGGTACCACTCTGGTGGGAAGGGACTTGAGTCTCATCTTTCAGGAGCTCTTCTGGAAGGATTCCTCTTCCCTACCCCTCACTCAGTCCTGGCCATGTGACTAACTTATTGGCCGCTCTCTAGGTCCTCCCTGTGGCCCAGTGAACTGCAACGAGAAGATCGTGATCCTCCTGCAGCGCTTAAAGCCTGAGATCAAAGATGTCATTGAGCAGCTTAACCTGGTGAGTCCTCCCACTTCACTTCCACACCGCCCCCCCACCGCCCCGGGCTCTGGGTCAAACCCTTTGTCTTCCTTGATCCCCGCCATTTGGGGCATGGCACCTGCCAGGTCTTAGTGGGAGAAGGCACAGCAAATGAAGCCAGAATTTTAGGCTCTGTGCCTCAGGATGGACTTGGTACGCTGCTACCCAAAGTGGGCAGGAAGCAAGGAAGGAGAGGAACTCAGGAACTGGGTTGAAGGCTGATGCGGCTTTGATGCCATTCCCTCCTCCCAGGTCACCACCTGGTTGCAGCTGCAGATACCTCGGATTGAGGATGGAAACAACTTTGGAGTGGCTGTCCAGGTTAGAGTTCTGCCTCACTCCCCCATTCTTCTTACCTCTCTAGTCCATTATGTTTTCCAGTTTGCCCCTTGCATTCTTTCCCCAGGAGAAGGTGTTTGAGCTGATGACAGCCCTTCACACCAAGCTGGAAGGATTCCACAGTCAAATCTCCAAGTGAGTGTCTGTCCAACTGCACCCACGTGCACATCCTGCCTTGGCTTGGAAAGAGGCCTGGGCTCTCTCCTTGTCCCACTCCACACCCTTCTGTTTCCCACAGGTATTTCTCTGAGCGAGGCGATGCTGTGGCCAAAGCAGCCAAGCAGCCCCATGTGGTAGGTGAGATCCAGGTCAGGGTGCATGACAGTGGGGAAGGACACATTTGAAGGCGGCCCTGATCCAGGTCTTCCACAGGGTGATTATCGGCAGCTGGTGCACGAGCTGGATGAGGCAGAATACCGGGACATCCGGCTGATGGTCATGGAGATCCGAAATGCTTATGTGAGGAGGAGAGGATGGGGCAAGGGTGGGCAGAGGCAACTTTCCCAGGCTACCCATCCCCTGACCCTCCAGGCTTGGGGTAAAGGGTGACAAAGCTCAGTCTTTCTACAAGGTTTGAAAAGGGGCACAGAGCCACAGGGGGCTTATGGCTAATCTCCACTCCTCCCTGGCCTTGTAGGCAGTGTTATATGACATCATCCTGAAGAACTTTGAGAAGCTGAAGAAGCCCAGGGGAGAAACAAAGGGAATGATCTATTGAGAGCCTCCTCTCGCACTGCGGTGGATCCAAGAGAGAACTCCTGTCTTTGACAGGGAACTCCAGATTTTGTCCTACCTTAAGCCTGTTGAGGTTTCTCCCTCACTCTGCCTCTCAGGCACAATAAATATAGTCATAACGGTATCCATCAGATCAAGTCTCTTTATTGGACCCTGACCCTCCCTCTCTGTTCCTGGCTCAGGCATTTCCATTGGTGGGACCAACCCACTGTGTGATTTGGGTGTTGAGCTGCTGGTTGGTCCAGTCCTGCCGGATGTCATCAAGATGGCAGTCAAAGTCCACGAGGTGCTGGTGGGCCCGGCTGTCCAGTAGTGTTCCCACCATCTGCCGTGACTCTTCCCAGTCCCTCCACATCACTCTGAAATAATAACCCCCATGGAGATCAAACTCAGCTGGCAGTGGAGCCAGACACTTAACAGAAGTTAGGTCTAGAGAATGACCCTTGGGGCAGAATCAAGGACAGAGGCCCTGGTACTGTGGGTTTCCAAGAAGTGGAGTGGGGCACTCACAAATTCTTGTCTTTGGGGACCCAGCGAAGACCATGGTTCTCTAGCACGATGACTGGGGGCACATGAGGCTGAGACACTAGTTTCTGATTATCCAGCTGTGTGGACAACCAGGTCAAGTGAGGGCTTCAAGGATCCCTCTTTCTGTTTTCTTTCCAACCCCCTCCTCCAAACCCAAGCCTCACCATAATAAGTACTGCATCAGGGAAGAATTCTGCAATCCGCCCAGCAATTTTCAAGGCAAGGGGCCCAGGGCTGTGTAGAGGGAAGATCAGAGAAGTGAGAAGCTGACTGGAGAGACCCCATCCATTTGAACTGTGTCTCCCAGGTTTCACAGACATTGGTGCAGTGACTGCCTTTCCCCGTAACTAAGCAGGGGGATCCGGTCTCCTTGATGCTTCATGCACAACTGCTTGATGCTTGGATGCTGTGGGAAACAGGTGCTCAGATACTGCTAGTGAAAGTGAAAATCAAAGATGGTCTTCTTGGGGGGTAATTTGGCATAACCATCCAGATTTAAACTGTATACTACACATATGCTGACCCAGAAATGTCACTTATATAAAGAAATTACTATAACCCTGCTGGTATGGCTCAGTTGATTGAGTGCTGGCCTGTGGACCAAGGGGTTGCCAGTTTGACTTGTGGTTGGGGCACATGCCTGGGTTGCAGGACAGGTCCCTGGTTGGGGGCATGTGAGAGGCAACCGATTGATGTACCTCTCACACAATGATGTTTCCCTCCCTATCCCTTAAAAAAAAAAGATGTTATTTATTTTTAGAGGGAGGGGAAGGGAGGGAGAAAGAGAGGGAGAGAAACATCAATGTGTGGTGGCCTCTTGTGAGCCCCCCACTGGGGACCTGGCCTGCAACCCAGGAATATGCTCTGACTGGGAATCAAACTGGTGACCCTTTGCTTTGCATGCAGGCCAGCACTCAATCCATAGAGCCACACCAGCCAGGTCCTCTCCCACTCTTTCTTAGAAAGGGAGGGAGGGAGGGAAGGGAGGGAGGAAGGAAGGAAGGAAGGAAGGAAGGAAGGAAGGAAGGAAGGAAGGAAGGAAAAAGTTACTGCAATAACAGGGCAGTCTAACAAAATATTGGAAACAGTCTCAATGTTCAAAATAGGCATTAAGTAAATTATGGTACATCCGTATTCATATTACATAGTTTTAGGGTAAGGTAGGTCTTGGTGTAGAGATGGGAAAATATCAGATATTTATTAAATAGGGGAAAAGCAAGTTACAAAATAGTATGTATACTTTGATCTAGATACATGATTAATATATAAGTAGATCTATTTTTCTACTTATAGAAAGTAAATTTTTCAGCCCTGGCTGGCGTAGCTCAGTGGATTGAGCGCGGGCTGGGAACCAAAGTGTCCCAGGTTCGATTCCCAGCCAGGGTACATTCCTGGGTTGCAGGCCATAACCCCCAGCAACCGCACATTGATGTTTCTGTTTCTCTCTCCCTCTCTCTCTCTCTCTCTCTCTCTCTCCCCGCCTCCCTCTCTTCCCTCTCTAGAAATAAATAAATAAATAAAAATCTTAAAAAAAAAAAAAAGAAAGTAAATTTTTCTTTCTTGAGGGTTTTTTTTAAAGTTGCTGGTTGGTCTTCCGGGGTTCTGTCAGCAGTTTGGGGGGGTCACTTCAGTTTAAACTAGTGTTAGTCTTTTCTTATTCATACACAGCTGTCCTCCCCACCCCTATCACAGCTCCTCCCAAGAATCTATTTCCTCACTCCAGTACCAGCTTCATGCCTGGTATACAGTCCCTGCTCCTAAACCTTTGATTAAGGCAAGATTGAAGAAATAGCCAAGAGGGGTTCTCTTGACCCCACCCCCACCCCATAACCCTTAGTCTTCTGTCTCTGGCTACCCCACTTACCTCTGGTCATGGAGAGCTGCATTGGCATGGTAGTACCCAGCCACTACTAGACCGGCCTGCGCGCCCCACACATCCACCTGCCGTGGGAAAGGGGCCATCAGTAACTAACTCGAGCCACCCGCCTGAGGCTGTACACGGCTGCTAAGAGGCCGGAGATGGGCTTGGGCTAGGGGTGTTAGGGGATTTCTCCATATTTGGTGGGCATCCAGCAGCGGCACCTGGTTGAGGGCGACCTCCAGCATGACGGACAGGGCCAGGTGGCTGTGAAACAGTGGCACACAGTCGGCTAGACACAGGCATTCTCCCGACTGCGGCACTGGCGCCAACAACAGCCCATTGACCGCAGCGTGAGGGTACCGGGCAGCGTGCAGGCACATCTTCGCGTAGGCCCGGGCCGATATCTCCACCTCCCCCATGGCGAGCCTGGCCCCAGCTCGGTTCCGGGAAGCTTCTTCTAACACCCTGGCACGTTCCCTGGCCCTTCCCGTGACCCCGTCACTTAGGTTCAGGGTTGACCCTGACTCGGCTCAAAGACTCCTGGCCCCAGCCTGGCTGGGAATGCAGGCGGTGGCAATTGCATGCTGCGGCACCGAGCTCCGCCTCCGCCAGCCCCCAGGGGGCGGCCTCAGATTCGCGCCTGTGTCTGGGACCAAGAACCGCCTGCTCAAGCGGGACCGCTTCTAGAGTACTGCCCACATGGTGCCACTTGATAGGTTTAGAGGTTCCTATTTTGTCCAATCACTAGCCTCGCCCAGACCTTGCCACGCCTTTGTCGCCAGCGGACTGGAAAGAACCCACAACTGTAAAGCAAAAACTGCCAGCTCACAGATTGGGTAGGTTACCGACTTTAGCTTGTGATTGCGGGATGGCTTCTGTGAGCCTGTGCTGCCCCGATAGGACCCACAGAGCCAGTGGGGTGCGCCCTGTATCGGGTGTCCAGAAGCAGATCTTCGAATTTGGGCACGTAGCCGACTACCTTGTTCCTACTATCGGAGGAGTGGATTTGTACTGGAGACTGACGCTTCCACTTAAGAATGAGCTATGCTACCTTTCCAACTACACGTTATCTGGCCCTTCGTTTCCTTCATGTAATTATCTGTAGAAATGAAGACAGTGATTGGCTGAAGGTGGATAAAAAAAGAAAGAAAAATGTACACACCCCTAATGTCCTCTGGTGTGATTTCCTTCATCATAATGCCTTGGGATTGTTTTTTAACCTCCCAGGCCTTGAGGAGTCCAACCATTTACCCATAATTCTTCCTGTGAAACCATTCTTCCTCCAGGCTTGCTCTGGGCTGATGAAATGATGAAAGCCTTTTCCTTTCTTTATTCCGACATCACCCACAGAGCTTTTTCCTTGTCCATCCAAAGCCTGATTCTTCCTATAAGGGCTCTGCCCAAATGCCACCTCTTCCAGGAAGCACTCATGAGATCCCCAAATGGGAATAACCTGTGAAAATCCCCAATATAGGTTATCCTCATGGCTGTCATGGCATGTAAGTTTCCACCCTGTTGGGCATCTAATTCATCTTTATCTACCTGGAACCCTTTCCCTTTCACAGCACATTCACATTCAGTGTCTGGACAAAGGTGGCACTCAGTAAATGTTTTTTAAGTAAATGACACACACCAGAGGTAATCTGAACAAAGCATTGGTAATTTATTTCTTTTCTAGTCCTGGGCTCAGTACATAGATGGCTTCTCTTCACCCTTTGGGTTGACAATTTTCTCCAGGTTTTTGCTGATGATATGATAAAGTTCAGCCTGGAAGAAAGACAGAAGGACAGTAATCAGGTTCTTGGCCTTTCCTCTGCCCTCTCTCACCCAGCTCCCTGAGGGGGCTTACTCCACACTCACATAGAAGGCCCTCAGGTCCAGCACCATGGCCCTGAGTTCCCCATAGGCTGTCTCATCTCTTTCGTGCACCAGGGCCCGGTAATCCATCTGGGATGTGGAAGGCAAAGCTGAGTCAGCCCCATGGGAGGTTGGGACATAGTCTGCTTTCCTCATACAGGGAATAGGTAACTTGAGGATGAGCCCTTCTCAGCACCAAGTAATGGGATTCCCATAGTTCCAAACAAACAAACAAAAAAAAGGGGTCAAGTGTTTTTGAAGCCCAAATTAGTCTCCCTAGACAATGATTTTGGCTTGATATTCCCCACATGGGGAAGGTCATAAACAAGACAAAGAGAATCTCTATCCCCCTTTCCTCACCCCACCCCCAGCCAGCCTCAGCTGAAAGGCTGGTGGACAATCCACTCACTACATGGGTCTCCTTAGAGGCCTTGGCCACAGCATCCCCGCGTTCTGAGAAGTACCTGCCAGAAGCACAGGAATGGGTGTTCACAGAGATATATTCTCTCAGACCCTTCCCAAAGCCCCCCATCATCCTGATGGGACTATCCAGCTTCGGAAGTCCCTAAAATGTTCCTGTAGCAGCCCCATGCTGGCCTTTCAGCTGCTCTCACTTGGAAATGGTTGTCTGGAAAGCTTCTACTTTGGTCTTGACCGCATTCACCCTCTCCAACACCTTCTCCTGTGGTAACAAAAGAGACGGGAGGCAAAGAAAACATTTACTCTCCTTCCTTCTTCACGCACCACCTCCCTCCTCCTCCCAGTTACATTTAGCTCCTAACCCTCACTTCCCAAGCCACACTTAATGTCCTCACACACCCTTTTCTTACCTGGATTGCCACCCCAAAGTCATTTCCATCCTCAATCTTGGGGATCAAGTGCTGGATCCATGTGATCACCTATGTGAAGTGATATCATGTAGGACTCATTCAACAAACCTACTGGGTTCTTCCTGTTCCCGCTACTTCCTAATAATGGCTCTATTTAATGGAGCATTTATTATGTGCCAAGCACTATACCATGTATTATACATTTAATTTACTTTCAAGTTTAATGCTCTTTTATACCTTTCTAACAGATAAGAAAACTGAGTCACAGAACATCTAAGAGACTTATGTGACCAGCTAGGTAAGTCATAGAGTCATGATGTGAAGTCAGGCAGTCTTCCCCTAGGGCCCAAACTCTTAAATCAACTTACTATATTATAGCACCTGCACTGTGTACCTGGTACAGCAGTGAGTTCTAAGGTTATAGAGGTGGGTATAGCACAGTATCTGATTTCAGGGATACCACTGTGGTATCAGAGGTCTAACAGAACAAAAGGTGTCTACATCCACATCACAGATGGAAGTTTCCTACTTCAGGAATGGGTTCCTGCATGAAAGACTTGCATTTCTGAAGGACCCCAGGGCCTGGCCTGTCTTCTCTTTCTATTTCTCTCAGTTCCCAGGCTTACCAGAATACATTTTTCTTTGAGAGTCCAGACTTCTGGCTTAACCAGGGCAAGCAGGGCCAGAAGCTTCTCATTCCCAGGGAGAAAGCCACACTTAGGGACTGTGAAAAAAGGGGATTTAGACCTCTTCTCATCCAGCAGTCACTGTGCCATTTCCCTTTCCCTAGCCATCCCTTCCTCTCTTACCTTCTTTCTTCTCCTGTTTATCTGTTTCCATCTAAAGGAGAATGGGGGAAAGCAGCTTCAGAAAAGTCATGGAGGTTGGAAAGCCATCACTTCCATTGGGTTTATAGTCTAAGCCCTGCACCCTGAATGCCTCACCTCATCATCCTTGGGTGGGGGGTCTGGAATAGGGATGTCCAGTGGGGCTCGGAGAGAGGTCAGATCGGTCACGTTCAGGGAGTCCTCCTGCAAGAGCTTATTGTCAGGGGCTGCCCAGCCTTCCCTCCACACATCCCACCTGCCCTCTGCCTCCCATCCTCAGCTCAGGCCTCACACCATCCTAAAGTTCCTAGTCCGCCACCCACAACTATTCTATGTACGCTGAGCCCAGCTGTTAGCTGGAGACGGTGGGTGGAAGAAATGGGGGCCATGGGATGGAGCAAGAGGGTTTCACACTACTCACTTGCAAGAGCTGATTCAGGTGTATGATTTTCTGTGGCAAGAATCTGTAGAGGAATTCCTCAGCCTGTGTGTTACATTGCAAGGGTGGGGAATCACAGAAGACACTCAATGAGACATCTGAGAAGTGGGACTGGAAGGACCCTTGAAAATGATTGAACCCAAGGCCAACAAATGAGGAAACTGAAGCCCTGAAAAGTGAAGGGATTTGCCCAAGCTGGGAAGTGGCAAAAACCAAGGTTAGAACTGTGGTATTCCTGCTTCAGGGCCATAGCGTTTCCCCTCACACCAAAAGAGAGGAGAGAAATGGAAGGAGTGGGGGGAGTATTAAGAGGGGTCAAATCAAGGTAGAGATCAATAATTAGGAGCTTATCTTGGGTGAAGGCTTGATAAGGGAAGTAGGGTCCAGTTTTAGGATGGGTTTGGGGGTCACTCTGAGAGGTTGTGACCCTCAGGCATTGGTCTAAGATTCTCGGCCAAATCGCTTGAATCCAGAAGACTTACCTCCTGGAAAAGATTTTGCCTGAAGACATCCACCTACACAGAGAGCAGTACCCGGATGTTGGTTAAGGGTCTCAATTGTCAACAGTAAGATCCCACCCCCAATGGAATGCCCTCCAACTTAGCTCGGGCCCTTCCCACCACAAGCCAGCTTTCCCTGGAAGTCCATGCTCAGTGCAGAGACTGGCCAGAGGGCTGGAATCTGGGAATTCCCGGTCAGAAGTGAAAGCACCGAAGAGGTTGGGGTAGTTCTCCGGAACGACTTGGTCCCCTGGAACCCAGGTTGACCTCTACCACGAGGGCTCCCCGGCCCCCTCCTAGCCTCCCAGCCACCCATTACCTGTTTGCGGGCTTCCCCGCTCAGGCGGACCCCACAAGGCTTGGCCATGCTGCTTCAGTGTGCTAGATTTCGGTCTCCCGGCTCGCCTCCGGGGCTTTCGCTTTCACTCCCCACACCCAGGCCCGCCCCCCTCAACCCCGCCCCCTTCCCTTTTTCCCCTCCCCCCTGGCAAGCCGCAAATGGTAGGGAGTCCCTCAGCCATGCTCGGCTAGTTAAGACTGGGAGAGGCGGTGCTGACAGGGTCCAAGGCCAGGGAGGGGCTCGGACGAGTGGGATCGTGGAGAATGAACTCCCGAGAAGGGGCGGGGCTTACAGGAAGTCGGCGTTAGGGTGAGAGAAGTGGAAGTGTGGGAAAGGAGGTGTTCAGTGGCAGGGCTCCTTCTAGAAGGCGTGACTGTGAGGAGAGGCCGGAGAGGGATCAGAGCGTTGGGAGTAGAAGGGAGAGCCTGGGGCTGAGAAGGGCTAGCAGGCTATGAAAGGGAGTAGGCGCGGGGGCTCCCAGCCTTCCGGACTGACCGGAGAAGGGGCGGGACTCGCTTGAGCCGGGCACAGTCCCGGGCAGAGTGGGACTTCCCCAGTGGGGACAAGAGCAAGACCTACAGGTCAGGACAGAGAGGAAGGCTTTGAGGGAAATAAGGATAATCCGGCTCCTTTGGCTATCCGGAAAGGGGCGGGCCAACTTGGAAGGCGGGGAATAGCTCTAGAACCAAGTTAGAAGCTGTTAGGCTCTCGGGGCGTGGGGGCGGGGAGACCAGGGACCATTTACCCTTCTCATTGGCTGGGACCACCCTTATGGGCCACGCCCCGCTACTCCATTACCCAGCCCTCCTAGCCTTAAGCCCCTCCTCTTCCTCTGAAACTGTGCGGCAGTTCCGCCCTCTATTCTAGTACTTCCTGTTCCAGACTAAGCTTGGCTGGGGACTGAGGGGCTCAAGGGTAACCGTGGCCTGAGTAACCCAGGAAGGCGCGCCGTCCGGGGCGGGTCGTGAAGTCCGACACCAGGCGGAAGGGGCGGTGCTCAGGCCGCGCGCAACCAGTGCTGGGTCCCAGCCGGCGACCGGGCTGTGGCGGACTGCTGTCTCGGGATGCCGGGGGAGGAGGAGGCGCGGGCCTTCCTGGCAGCCCGCGAGGAGCTGGTGAGCGCCCTGAGGGCGGATTCTGGGCAGTCGTTCTCCCTGGAGCAGCTTCGGCCGCTGCTGGTCACATCTTTACCGCCAGCCGCCCGCTACCTGCAGCTGGACGCCGCACGCCTGGTCCGCTGCAATGCTCACGGGGAGGTGAGGCCCAGACCCACTTTGAAGGAAGACAGAGAACCTGAGCCCGGGGCGGGGCTCACAGCTCTCTGCTCTATAACTGCTTTCAGCCCCAAAACTACCTCAACACCCTGTCCACGGCCCTGAATATCCTGGAGAAATATGGCCGTAATCTCCTCAGCCCTCAAAGACCTCGGTACTGGCGCGGGGTCAAGTTCAATAATCCCGTCTTTCGAACTACAGTGGATGCTGTGCAGGTGAAGCCCCTGGAGTCCCTTATTAGAGAAGGGATCTTGGCCTGGGCCGGGGATTGGCTAGAAAACGCCTGAGCTGGGCAGAATGGGAAGGGGTTCAGTCTTGTTGGAAAGGGGCTTGCTGGGTGGTGACTGGTTGCGAATGTGTGGCAGGGGGGCCGGGATGTTCTGCGATTGTATGGCTACACAGAGGAGCAGCCAGATGGGTTGAGCTTCCCTGAGGGGCAAGAGGATCCGGATGAGTATCAAGTTGCTACAGTCACACTGGAAGTACTCTTACTTCGGACCGAACTCAGTCTCCTGTTACAGGTAAGGTGTCTCTGGTCCTGAGGACTTAAGCACCAAGGCTGGGAAGCTCAGCCTAACTCCAAAGCCAGTCTAGGGATTCCCATGCTGCTAAGCCATGGACAGTCTCTGCAGCAACCTGGGAGTTCCCCTTACTCTTCTTTCTGTAAATGCTGGGGACCAGGGCTTAGAGGGAGGGCCTTGTTCTAGGACTGTAGGTGGAATTCTTCTTATCTTGTTTGCAGGGTTCTCACCCAAGAGAGCAAGCACTGGAGCAGCTGCTGAAAGACAAGGTTGATGATGATGCAAAGAAGGCAGGAATGGGACTTTGGGGCCTGGTGAACAAAACGGGCAGGAGTTAGGGGACTCCCCAAACACTTATTCATTCCCTGCCCTTTTTCCTCAGATGCTACAGCTCTCAGAGTTTGCCCCTCTACTGAGAGAGATTGCTCCTAGTCCCCTCACCACACCATCTGCCCCAGGTATTATTGGTCCTATATTGCAAGAGGGGTTAGTAGACCATGTTGATGGAAATTTGGGGGCCCTCCTCTGTCTATCTTCTTGGTTATCTGCCTTTTTAAAAAAAATATTTTATTTATTTATTTTTAGAAAGAAGGGAAGGGAGGGAAGAAGAGAGGGAGAGAAATATTGATGTTCGAGAGATATATCAATCAGTTGCCTCTTGCCCCTAGCTGGGGACCTGGCCCGAAACACAGGCACGTGCCCTGACTGGGAATCGATTCGGCAACTTTTTGGTTCTCAGGCTGGCACTCAACCCACTGAGCCACACCGACCAGGGCTGCCTTTCTTTTTTTTAGGAGAGATTAAAATGGTTTCCTTGAGTTGAGATATGTTGAAAAGTAGCCTGTAACTGATCCCCTTCTGCAGCACATTCAGATATAACCTGGTCTTTTCCAGAAAGATGTTCTATTCTTTTTCTCCTGTTCTCCAGCCTCCACTCCTGGTCCCTGCTTCCTCTGTGGTTCTGCCCCAGGCACATTGCACTGCTCAGCCTGTAAACAGGCCTTGTGCCCAGCTTGTGATCGCCTGTTCCATGGGCACCCATCCCGTGTCCATCACCTCCGCCAGACCTTGCCTTGGGTCCCCCAGACTGCCCACTTGACCCCTAGGTGAGAGGCCTTCACTTCTGGGAGGGAGTGAAATTGAGAGATCTTAAAATTACTTGAGTATCTAGTGTGTATTGCATTCTGTGCTAAAGGCTGTTTTATAGAGGGCAAGCAACTAATTACTGCCCTCCAGGAGATCATAGACACACATATCAAGTTAGTAGCAGTCACAACAAGATAGATTATCATGTTGCTCACATAGGTAGTAGGAGGGTGCAGCCTAGTCTGAAGGATGAGCTTAACCAGTTGGCAGTATTTTAAGCAGTTAGAATGGGTCAGGCCCTACGTTAGGAATACCTACCAGCAAGATGTAAACTGAAAGCTATTGTTTAAATGTTGAACAGACTATGGGTATGGGAGTGTTCCAGACAGAACAAAATGTGCAAAGGTCAGAGCCATGTGTCATCACACAGAGAATGAGGGATGCCCAAGGTGAGGAACCAGGGCACCAGGGCCCCCTCACAGGCCATGTCTGCTTTTCCATTACAGCTTACCTGCCTCAACTCCACCACGGCCCCAGCTAACCTCCATGCCGGCCCTGGGAGACAACTCCCTTTCACCCCCTGATCATACGAGTGCCCGTCTGCCTTGGCACTGTGCCACCTGTGCTGTGCTAAATGAATCTTGGGCAGTGCTCTGTGTGGCCTGTGATCGGCCCAGAGGCTGTAAGGGGTTGGGGCTGGAGATCATGAGTTCCCAAGGCTCTGGGAGCCTAGAACCTGAACTTGCACGGGGTCATTGGGCCTGCCAGAGCTGCACCTTTGAGAACGAGGCAGCAGCTGTGCTCTGTGCCATGTGTGAACGACCTCGGCTGGCCCAGCCTCCTAGCTTGGTGGTGGATTCTCGAGATGCCAGCATTTGTCCGCAGTCCTTTCAGGTAACCTGTTCCTGGCCTTCCCAGCTCTTTATTTGCACCTGTTACTGTAAGCCATTCTCCACCTCCTCATCCCATTTTCCTTCAGTTTCTCCATGTCTTCCAATCTGCCCCCTATATTTCCATCTTGAGCCTCAGCCAGCTTTCAATGGGATAATTCTTTCTGCCTTCCCAGCAGGGAGATACTTTGCTGTCTTCTGCGCAGACTCCAGTCTGGTACTGTATTCACTGTACCTTCTGCAACTCGGGCCCTGGCTGGGTGTGTGCTATGTGCAACCGGACCAGCAGCCCTGTCCCAGTAAAGCATGCCTCCCGGCCCAATGCCAGCTCTTTAGAAGAGCGACTCCCGGAGCCAGGGCCTCAACGACGCCTCAGTGCCCCCCTGCCCAGCTCCTGTGGGGACCCTGAGAAGCAGCGCCAAGACAAGATGCGGGAGGAGGGTCTTCAGCTAGTATCCAAGATCCGGGTGAGGATTTGGGTCTAGGATGAGGTGGGGCTGAACTGGTGGGGGAGGGACAGGCTGCAGTCAAATAATATGAATTCTTATAAATCTGGTCATTGTTAGTCACAGCTACCTGTTTGTTTGTTTTTAGAGATTTTACTTATTTTTAGAGAGTGGAGAAGGGAGGGAGAAAGAAAAGGAGAGAAATGTCAGTGTGTGGTTGCCTGTCCTGTGCCCCCTACGTGGGACCTGGCCTGCAACCCAGGCATGTGCCCTGACTGGGAATCGAACCAGCAACTGGTTTGCAGGCCGGCACTCAATCCACTGAGCGACAGCGGTCAGGGCCACCTGTTTTTAACACTTCCCACATGACAGGTTTGCTTTGCTCTGCTCACATGATCATAGTCTGAGCTCAACCACTCAGCATTTTGATTTGGGCTGAGGGTGGATAGAAGGCACCCTTACTTATAGGCCCTCTGGGTGGGACTGTGCCTCAGGAAGGAGAAGCTGCAGGCGCCTGTCCAGAGGAGGTGTTCTCAGCTCTGCAGTACTCCGGCACTGAGGTGCCCTTGCAGTGGCTACGCTCAGAACTGCCCTACGTGCTGGAGATGGTAGCTGAGCTGGCTGGACAGCAGGCCCCGGGGATGGGTGCCTTTTCCTGTCAGGAGGCCCAGAGAGCCTGGCTGGATCGTCATGGCAATCTTGATGAAGCTGTGGAAGAGTGTGTGAGGGCCCGGCGGAAGAAGGTACCAGAAGTGCTAGAGGCGGGGCAGGGTTGAGGGTCATGGGTCTCAGAGCCTCTCATATTCTCTCCTTGCTTGCTTTTTCTCTCTTTATTCTTTCTCTTTACTTCCAACTCTCAGGTGCAGGAACTCCGATCCCTGGGCTTTGGGCCTGAGGAGGGGTC